ATGGTGCATAGGTTTTGTGTGGTTGGTCCCTACCCTGGTTTTCCCACAAGCCCTGTTATATTTGGTGTCTGCTTTTGTAGCTTCACAGAGGTGTTCGTTTGTTTTTTTTTAAGACATTACATAAGAATTATAAGGAATTCCTTGAACCATTTCTCAGTGCTGGATAAGGTAGTAAACATAGTGCTTACTCAGTACCCAGCAATGGTAACTTCCTGTCAAAACAGACTGTGAAGTTATGATAACCAAAACAGTATGACGGGCACAAGAAAGAATCTTATAGGTTGTGAGGATTAAGCAGAATGGCAGGCTTTGGCGCAGAGCTCAACGAGTTAGTATCCTCACCGCCCAACTATAGATTTTTCCTCATTCGAAGCCTTGGGGCAAGTGAATTCCTTTTTCTGAGCCTCTTAGCTTCCCCTCTAAGAAATAGGGACTATTAATAGTCTATTGCACAGCCTGGGTTTTTCAGCTGTTGACTTGCTCAGCACAGTGCCCAGCTGTTGGTTGGTTAAAGGCGCCACTAGGGGGTGCCGTTGAGGCTTTTGTTGAGATTTAAGCCTGTAGGAGGGGAAAGCTAAGTAGGCCTTTCTCACGCCTTCCTGCAGCTGAGTGCACAGTTATGGGCATCCCCAGTGTCTCCACCAACCTCTCTGGCTTCGGCTGCTTCATGGAGGAACACATCGCAGACCCCTCAGCTTACGGTCAGCACCCAGACTGAGATCCGGGACTCCTGGGGGCCTGGGGAGGAAGGGTTTTGGTGCCACAGCATTCCAGGGAGAAGGAAGGTCCCCCCCTAGCTGTTTCCTGAGTTCCCGTCCTGGACCCCACAGGCATCTACATTCTGGACCGGCGGTTCCGCAGCCCGGACGATTCCTGCTCGCAACTCACCTCCTTCCTCTACAGCTTTTGCCAGCAGACCCGGCGTCAGCGCATCATCCAGCGGAACCGCACTGAGCGTCTCTCGGACCTCCTGGACTGGAAATACCTAGGCCGGGTATAACTCACTCCCTTTCCTGTCCTTTGCTGGTGAATGTACCGCTTCCGGTTCTGTGTCTCTGGTTTCTCAGTCCCAAAGGCTGGCACTGAGGCAACCGATCTCATACTTGTGAAGGTTGTTGTCTCTTTAAGAAATTAATCAACTTCTGGAAGACCCCCATTGGCCCAAAGTTCTCTATTTGCATAAGGGTGTGGCCAAGGGAACGTGACTCAGAGACTGTCCATTCACAGCTCTGCTATCTACCTAAGGGGTGGAGCCAGCAAAAAATAGATAATAGGCTTAGGTCAGCGATTTTCTTCAGGGTGCACATAAACTACAGAAATTCTTCAGCACATCAAAAAATATATATTTTTTGCCAATCTGCCAAAAAAGTAGAACTTTGATTCATTCACACCGGACAGCTATTGTGTTGGCTGTTATTTATTTATATGACAATCTAAGGGAAAAGACCTCAGTGCCCCTGGCTAAGTAGTCAGGTGTTGCACGTTTTAAAAATTCTTGCCGCCCTAGCAAGAATTTTTTAAACATACAATACCTGGACACATGCAACCCACAGCACATGCCTCGGTTGCAGTCCGGGTCCCTAGTTGGGGGTGTACGAGAGGCAGCTGATGGATGTTTCCCTCTCCCCCTCTCTCTCAAAAATAAATAAATAAAATCTAAAAGTGAAAATAAAATAAAAATAGAAAATTTTGCAGCCCACCAATTGAAAATCGCTGGCTCAGGCCCCAAGCCTTAGAATGGCCTAGTGAAACGTGTTACAGAGTGTGCTCATCTGCATAAAAGGTGTGGGCAGGGTGCACACACACACACACACCTCTGCTCTGGACAAGTCGGCACCCACCCCCTAATGCCCCTCCACTTTTCTTTCCCTCAAGTACTATATGTCTGCACGCCACATGGCACTGGCCAAGGCCTTCCCAGAACACTTCATCTACGAGCCCCATGAAGCTGACAGGGTGAGTTGGCCCCGGGTCCCTTGAAGGGCTCGGAGCTAGGGCCCCCGGCTGGGGGTGGAGGGTTCCCGCCTGGAACCGGAAAGCCCGGGCAGGACTAGGGATCTGTGCTCACTTTCCCCTTTGTGCTAACTTCCGCTCGCACACAGGCCCAGGGGTACCGCTACCCACGGCCGGCCTCAGTGCCACCGTCACCCTCGCTGTCTCGACACTCGAGCCCACACCTGAGTGAGGATGAGGATGAACCCCAGGACCGGCTGCCGAATGAGGAAGGCGAGCGCTATGACGAGGAAGAGGAGGCCGCCAAGGACCGGCGCAACATCCGTGCCCCGGAGTGGCAGCGCCGCTCCTCCTGCAATTCTTCCACTGGCGGGAGCAAGCGCAGCTCAGACACCGGCCCCTCCAGCTCAGCCAGCAGTCCCAGCGAGCCCCTCAGCCCCGTCAGCTCCCTGGGCGAGGAGCGCAACTAAGTCCCGCCCCACACTCCCGGTCTGCCCTGCCTCCCTCTCTTCTAGAGGATGGATGTGGAATGGCGCTGTTCCTAATCCCTGCTCCAAACCGCCAAGCTTCCCTGAGGTCCACAGCCCCACGCACTCCACCATAGAGTCTAGCCCCTTAAGCTCTGCTCTTGGAATGCCCAACACTCCAGAATCTACAACGTAGTGCCTTTCTTGGGCTCCAGAATACATAATCTGAGCCCTTGAGTCTCCCAGACCTCGCATGGATCACAGAGGCCAGAAATCTGCCAATACGGTCTCATGGTGCCAGAAGCTTGAGGAGACGGGGCCTATCACCTTCCAAGCTGGGGCTCCTAGAACCCTTTGTAGCTTGCAAATTCTGCAATATTCGGAGCCTGCCCTGCTCAGCCTGGCCAGGGGCTAGTGGGTGCGGGGTGGGGGTGGGGGCATCCAGCGCTTGCAGCCAAGCGGTGCCCCAGCCAAATGGAACAATCAAGTTCACAGTTGGAGCACTTTCAAAGGACTCCTGCCAACTGAATGCAGTAGGTCCTCCATTTCACTCCAGAACTTGGACTCCAGGACAGACAAGCCTGTTTACTCTGTGCTGACCCTCCCTGTGGTGTCCACTTCTGCCTGGAGGGTCCCTCCACCCATGGTCCCTACACAAGAGAGCCACGTGGCTCCTCACTGCTGCTGGATAGCACGCAGTCTTGATCTGGCTGCTGTGCTGGCCTTTTCTGGATCGGCCCCTCCTCCGTCCCTGAGTCTGGGTTCTCCCCCGTATATCCAGGTTCCTTCTGTGCCCTCGAGGGAGTCCCCCTGCTGAGGGCAGAACTGGCTGTTCTCCAATGTCACACTCCACAGCCGCCAGGCCCAACAAAAAAACCACTGGGTTCTGGGTCCTGGCTGGCGAGGCCAGACCCCTTATCACTATGCTGCATCCTGGTCCCCTTCCCCTGGTCTAGAACTGAGCCCTCTGGGTTCTGGGTTCTAGAACACCCGTTTTTACCTCGAGGCTCTTCTACCCTGAGCTGTGCCTTGTCCCCAGCTTTGGTGACAGGGAGGTGTCCCTCATGTGTGCTGTGTCTGATGCACTTGGTTTGCAGTTGGGAGTGAGGGGGGAGGGACCGAAGTGTGTGTGGACAATGAAACAATACATCTATATTTAAGAATCCCAGGTCTGGTTGGCTGGGAGGGTTTGGTGCACCTCTCACCAAACCCATCCCTCTTTTTGGCTTCTACCCACTTTCTCTTCACTCCCTCTCCTATTTCTCCCCCTGCCCACCCTTCGGTCCCTGATTTCTGGTATCATTCAGCTGTTCTGGAATCTAGTGTTCTTTCAAGGGAAGGCACCTGTGTCCTGTTTGGTGGGGACATAACGTGCCAGTGGCAAACATTTGGAGAAAGAGCTCTCACTGCACAATGGACCCGCTGTGAGACCGTGACCCATGCATGTCTGGCTCTTTAAATTCCTCCACAGTAGCAATAAGCAAGTGCTCAATAACCAGAAGTAGCTGCTACCTGATTGGAGGGCGCAGATACAGAACATTTGCATCATTGGGAAAGTTCTACAGGACAGTACTCGCTTAGGGCGTGTCCCCAGGGCTCTGTGGCCACTGGCCTTAGACCATGCTGTCCCCTGGAGAGTTGTCTTTGGGAAAAATATTTTTCCTTTCAGCTGTAGTCTTCATTGGTCATAGAAACATCTCTGAATGAACTGCTTTGCAGGGCAGTATAAAAAGCTCCAATTGCTGATGGTCCTGTTAGGCACCATGTGGCAGACACACCTGCCTCTCCCCCCTTCAGAATCCCCCCCAGTCACCAGCACCAAAGTGCAGTGACAGCCAGGGCAGCAGGGTGCTGGGTGGACAAAACAACAGGTGTCCAGCAGCCACTTCCTTTTAAACCCAAGCAACAGCAGAGAAAGGCAGAGGTCAGCACTGACACCCTTTTGTAACTCAGACCCTTCTTCCAGCTTCTTCAGTTCCCATTTGTATAATTTGGCTCCAGTCACACTTCCCGGTTTCTGTGCCGGCCCCAACCCCTGGCTCAGCTCCTGTCCATCATGTGCTCCCAATGCTTCCCAATCACTTGACTGTTTCTGCCACTTGTGTGCCTTGAACTGGAGAAGAGGTAGCAAGCAGTCCTTGGAGCAGGTTGCATCTGGTGTGCCCCCTGCTTGTCATGGGCAATTTCCATACCAACATCCTCAACTCACCCATACAAAGGGGCTGATCTTCCTGGAAACAGCCAGACTCACTGCACTTCGGCACATCACTGGGCGACACACTAGAAGCTTATGGTTACTACCAGATACTGGGAACAGTGTGAGCTTGCAGCCACCAGGTCCAGGTGCTGAATAAACTAAACCCTCCCTGCAGCTGGGGCTTCCCCCACCTAGGTGGGGCCGTTAGCCTGGCAAGCAGAGAACTGGCTACTGCCACACACCCTGGGGAGCTCCCCCCTCAGAACAGCTGGGCAAAGGCCTCTTCTCTGCCAGGCTGGTCCCCTTAGCCTGGTGAGAGTACATCCCACAGCACACACACACACCCAGCAGCTGCTGTAAAAAGCTTTATTGCTTCCATTTGGTCCAATGCATGGGAGAGGGTTCCAGGGTGAGGCTCAGGCAAAAGCCAGACACCACGGAAATGCAGAGGGGCCCCTCGAAGGCCTCTGGGCTCCAAAGCCTTCCTAGTCGTGCTTGAGGGTGAGCCTTTCGAAGAGATACTCACCGTACCCAGCCTGGGGGCCGCCCAGCCTGTGGATGTTAATCAGGTGGTCGCACATTTTCTTGATGAGTTTCACCTCCTCATCCAGGAACTGGTTCTTCAGGAAGTCACAGAGCTGAGTAAAAGAAGAAAAGCACTGCCAATTGTCGATAACAGCGTGACATTGGGGGAAAATATTCACATATAAAGTTTGTCCAAGAGACGCTAAGGCTTAAGAGTATAATCTTCATTCCAGTAAAGGGCTTAGCACTGGTAGACTACTTCGATAAAAGTGGTACCCACATAAAGGTCTGTGCGGGCAGAAGCCAGGGCATGCAGATCCAAGAGGGCCTGGTTCAGGGTCTTCTCCAAGGCTAAGGCTGCTTCCATGGCGTCCTGAGTTGTACCCCACTCATGTCTGGAAGACTTCTACAAAGGAGACAGGGAAGGCTGAGAACGGGCCACAGAACCCGCAGAGAGCTAAAAACTGCTCCCTTCTCCCACAGGGCCTGCTCTGAGAGACGTCTATCACCTGCAGACCCCTACATATACACGGCCCGGGAGACCTGGCTGCGGACTCAGAACTGGCTGTGCTTACACTCCCACTCACAATGAAGGACCCACACGGATCTGGAAACCTCCCAGAAACCCTCGTGGTTCCTGAACCGCGGCAGTGAAGGCGCCGGGGCGCACGGACTGCTGGGAAATGTAGTCCACGGGGCTGCACACAATTTTACCTGCACATCCTGGAGAAGAATGCGGCCACCGTGCTGGTTTTGCAGCGTTAAGAGACAATCGGCGTCTTCGCGCTTCTTCTTGGCCAACTCCCGGAAGAAGTGGCCCACGTCCTGCAGAGCCACATCGTCCCGGTCGAAATAGAAGCCCTTGGGGAAGAGATGGCAGAAAGAAGGGTCAGCGGGAGGCGAGGCCAGGAGCGCAGACTCCGCCCTCTGACTATCCAGCAGGGCAAAGAATGCCAGCGCGTGCACAGAGGGCCAGATGTGCGCAGTTGTGGGGCTCTCTTGCCTGGGGCATCCTGGGGACCCTTACCAGAGACAAGTAGTTATAGGAGGCGTACAGATGTAGGTTGACCAGGCTGTTGACCGCTGCCTCCACTTCAGTGGAATAATTCTGACGAATTTGGGAGCTCATGGTTGTTTCTTACAAGGAGTTAAGTTCAGATAATCGTGATGGTGGTCTCGGAGACTGAGGAAGGCTGAGGTGGTTTTGAAGGTGGTACTGGGTAAGAGGTTGGAGGGTGGTCGGAGCCTGGAAGAAGGGGCGTCTCTAGGTCTGTTTCGTCCAAACCGTGTACAAGCAAGAGATCTCTGTGATGCTGTGCCCAAGCTGGCTTCCTTTATAGCCATTAGGGCCCCTGGAGGTGCAGTGTTCAGGAAGTGCAATTAGCCAATGCTCCTTGGTGGTATGTGGGGCCTAGAGCCCCGAGCGACTGAGCCAGAGCAGATAGGAGCCCCAGACTCCTGCCCCTCTGAGAGGTGAGGAAGTCACAGGCTCGTAGCTGGAGGCTGTTGTGAAATGGGAAATTAGGGGGCATGGGGGTTTGGGGATGCAAGGGTCTGGTGCTGATTGGGGGTAGTCAGGGGTTTGGGGGTTCTCTGGTAGGTGGAAGATTAATGGGGACACTGGGAGCCCTGGAAAATGATGTTCCCATAGTCCTGAGGCTGTCTCTGGAAGTAGGTTGGGTTCAGGGGTTGTCTTCGCCGAGGCCTTCAGATTCCTGGGGTTTGCTTTGGAAGCTGAGGGGTCCCCAGATCATCGGAAAGTTTTGAGGACAGTGAGATAATACTTCAGGAAACTTGGGGGGCTCTCTGGAAGATGGGTTGGAAGTGAGCCTTAGGATTCATTCAGAAGTGGTATTACTTTTTTTATTTCTTTGTATCCTTTTTTTTTTTTTTAATCTTTAGAAGGGAAGGGAAGGAGAGAAGGAGAGAAATATCAATGTATGGTTGCTTCTCGTGCATCCCCTGCTGGGAACTGGCCTGCAACCCAGAAATGTGCCCTGACTGGGAATCGAACCTTGATCCTCTGGTTCGCAAGTCCGTGCTCAATCCACTGAGCTACACCAGCCAGGGTGGAATTCCTATCTTTCTGGAAACTTTCAGAAGGAGGTGTTTAGGCCCTTGAGGTGGTCTGCAAGATTAAAAGGGCAGTTGCTCTGGAGCCTGGGGGCTCATGCCCAGGATTCGGGGAGAAGAGTGTTTTTGGAAGCACAGAAGGGTATTTTTTAGAAGTAGTGATAGGGAAACTCAAGAGATACAGGTACATATAGAAGGTAGAACCTTACTGCAATTCCTTCTTTTTCCTGCTACACAGAGTGTGGGTGGGAAGGCTGGAGCTTAGGCAACCCCGTTGGAACCCGAGGTGACCACCACAGAAACCAGTGCCGAGAACCCTGAGGCAGGAAGGCAGAAGACCTCACAGGATTGCTCAGCAAGCCCTACCTGCCCATGTTCAGATTCCTCCACGTGAGGGATGAACCCTTGTGGATAAGCCACAGCCACTTGGGGCGCCTGTTATAAGAGCTGAATGTGGGCCTGGCTCACTTGGAGGGTTTATCTGGAAGAGCCCAGCAGAGCTCCTGTCCCGAGAGGTCGCTTACCCATGGCGATGGCTGTCTTCCCAGTGCCCGGCTGGCCAGCGATGAGAACCGCCCGCCCGGCGATCTTCCCTTCCCGGATCATCTCCAGCACCACGCCAGCTGCCCGCCGCGCCGCCAGCTGACCCACCATGCCCTGGGAGGCCTGTGGGGTGGGGAGCCAGAACAAGTGTCTTCCTGCTGGGCTACCCCCATCTCTACCACCTCCCAGCCCAGGATGTGAAAGTGGATGTTTGGAGGGACATCAGGGAAAAGCCAAAAGAGCCTTTGCTATGACAATTTTTTTTCAGATCAATAGAATTCTACATGTGGCTGAATCTGATAAATATGGAGCTAAAGGTCCAGAAGAACATAACAGCCCCCATACTCCCCCGGGCCCTCCACGGAACAGGCTTCCCACCCACCCAGATCAGCTCTACCTGCTGAGGCTCCAAGGCGTCGTCCAGCCCCAGTCCCCGGATGCGGGAGTGAGCTCCTGTGTGCAGAGGGGGAACCAGGAGACACGGTTACTGGCCGGCTCCTAGCAGTGTGTGGCCCAGGTGATGGGTGCCCCTCTGGGCCCTGCTTTCCTCCTTGGCCAATTGGGGGCCTGGGTCCCCTCCTCACTGCAAGGATGGCAGGACTTGCAAAATGCTCAGTGAACAAGAGTGGCTTCTCTCAAAATCCATCAGATCCAGACCCAAGTCCCTGGGACCTGGTGAACCACGGGGTCAGGTCAGGTCTGACCAGGAAGGCTAAGGACTATGGTTACTATGTGCTTGTGGCCCGCGTGGCCTCACAGGTTCTCCTTTCCTTGCATGTAACCCTGGAGGAACCATAGTCCCAGCTACTATCTCCTGGGAGCACTTTTGGAGTTCTATAACCACCCTGGGCTCCCACCAACATGGATGTGGGAGGGGCTCAGAGAGGCTGGGTCCCTTGCCCAGTGAGGAGTGCAGACTCGGCATTCAATGCTTTACACTAGAGAAGGACTGGGCAAACTGCAGCCTGTGGTCCAGCCACTTGTTTTTGTAAATAAAGTTTTATTGGAACACAGACATGCCCATTGGCTTATACTGTCTGGGACTGCTTTCCCCCTGCAGTGGCAGAATTGAATCTTTTTCAACAGAGAGATTCACTGTCTGGCCCCTTAAGAGCAGATCTGTGGACACCACACTAGACCATGAGCACCCCAAGGGCAGGGACTGGGGGCACTAGTGTCTGCTGGGTCCTGGGCTCCCGGCAGCTGGGACAGGGCATCGGCACCTGCACGGGAAGGACTTCATGTTACTGAAGCAGGGGAGCTATTCCACCCTCACTTGGCAGATGAGGCAACTGAGGCCCAGAGAGCACCGAGCCCCTTGCTATTTGGCTCAGAAGTGGCAGCCAGCGATACGCTTCTATAACCCACAAGCCCTTTAAGGCATAACTTGGAGATGTGGCAAAATTGGTTTCAACCACTGCCATGAAGCGAGTTGCAATAAAGCAAGTGTCCCAATAAAGGCGCCACAAAATTTTTTATTTCCTAGTGCCTATAAAAGTAATGTTTGCACGATACTGTCGTTTATGAAGTGTGCAATAGCGCATGTCTAAAATCACCATGTGTTATACTTCCCTTAATGAAAAAATACTTTGTTGCTATAGAACACTAACTGACAGCTAAGCCTTCAGCAAGTCGAAATCTTTAAGCTGTGGCACTGAACAGATGAATCCGCACCGACCGGCGCACACTTCTCCCTGCAAGGAAGGCTGTCTGTGAAGGCTGCACCCCACTGGCCCCACTGCTCCCCAACTTCTGTTCCTGGAACCAGGTGCCCTTGGGCTGTGAGCCAGGACCAGTGACCGGTTGCTCCGAGTCTCAGCTCGTCTGCAATGGGATGACACACACTCTGCATCTGTGGGCAATGGCCCCACAGGATCAGCAGGATGTGAACCTGTAGCTTCAGGGCTTTTCTGTGTCATCTGCAGGGAATGAGCCAGGCCCGGGCCTGGCCCTCAGGGAGCTAATACCACCGGATTACGTGCTGGGTGGACGGGATGTTCAGTACTGAGCCAAACCCAGAACACACTATCAGCCATCCACTCCTGTGACCGCCGAGCAGGATGCTGGCTCTCCCAGGAGCCCACAGGGTGGCAAAGCCTGCAGCCTGGGACTGGGGTCTGGAGCACACGCTCATGCCTCTTGGGGTGCAGGGCAGGTTGGCTCTGCAGGGGAGCACAGGGCAGGCAGGGTCCCGTGCTGCTCCTGCTCCACGCCCACTCGCCAATGTGCTCGATCCTCGTCACGTCTCGGACCTCTGGGACCTTGGTGGTGGCCGTCTGGGGGTGGAGGAAGGAAGATGTGTCAGAAGAGCCCTCCTGGCCCTGGTTTCCACCAACTCCTCCCCCGTCCCTCCTGCCACCTCCCATGAAAGTCCCCTCCACTCCTCCCCAAAAGCAGGCTGACAGCCCCACTGCCAGCCACCACCACCCTCTCAGCTGCCTCCAGCCCGTGCTGGCTGGGTGACTCCTCTGTCCTCTGAGTCCCAGGACGATGAGGACTCTGTCCCATTCACAGATCCGTCCCCATGGCCTCGCCCATATTTGGGGCCCAGGAACTGCTTGGTGAAGGGAGAGGTCAGTGTGAGGACAAACTCTAAGGCAGAGCAGGCATCTCGGGGTTGGTCAGACCTGTGGACGCCCCAGCCCCTCCCGCACTTGACGCCCCAGCTCTGCCACTAGGCTGTGAGACATGGGGGTCCTGGGGTCCCGCCTGCTCTCCCCGCCCCCTCACTGGACAGACCAAGCTGTGCTCACCATGGGGGCCCCTCCCTGACCCCTGACCCTGCCAGGTTAGGTCTAGGGTCTCTGGATGCCCAGACGGAAGGGTCTCAGCTGGGAGTCCGACCTCCCTGTGGGATCTCGCTCTCCCGAGGGAGACGGTCGGGTCGAGGTTCTTGGCTCAGATGGATGTGTTCCCGTGAAAGGCACAGCCCACGCTCACTTGTTCGCCTGAGGCCTCAGTGTTTGGGGTTTGAATGAATGACTAGAAAAGTGCTGAGCTCATTGAAAAGGTCAGTACCCAGGTCCCTTTCTCTCCAAAGAGAGAAGCCAGCCACCACCCCTTCTCGTGTGGGGGAGGGAGGTGAGCAAACACCACCTGGGCCCATTTAAGAACCCACAGGAAATTCTTCGTGATGCCAAAAACATGGCAGCCCTGGCTGGCGGGACTCAGTGGACTGAGTGCCAGCCTGCAAACCGTAGGTTCTCCAGTTCGATTCCCAGTCAGGGCACGTGCCTGTGTTGCAGGCCAGGTCCCCAGTAGGGTGCGTGTGAGAAGCAACCACATGTTGATTCTTCTCTCCCTCTCCTTTTCCCTCCCCCTCTCTCCATAAATAAACAAGTAAACTCTAAAAATAAATGAAAATAAATACGATGTTAAAAAGAACATGGCAGCATGGGGCACAGAGGCAGCAGGGGCAAAATGTGTGTTAGAAATAAGTAGAGACAGGAGGCAGCCGTTGGCAGAGAACAGCAGTTACAGCAACTAAGCAAGGGACAGGAAAAATGTGGCAACAGAGATGGGAAAAGATTGTGGTGGGAAGAACGAACATAAAGTGCAGAAATATGGCGGCGGGTGAGAAATGAGGACAGATGCAGCAACAGTGGGACTCGGGGGCAGTAAGCCCAGGCAGACATCTGCCTGCTGGTGGGAGAGGCACAGGTGCTGTGCCAGAAACTGGGGTCGAAGCCCCGAGCCTCCCTGTGGGTCTCCCCAGGTGTATTCTGGGCACTGGATGATTGAGGGCGGCCCCCTGGTGGTGCTCCCGGACCTGGGAGTCTCAGCCTGGGCCCTGTAGCGCTGGAAGGGGGAGCTCTGGGACACCTGCAGCATCGGGGGGGGGACGTGGGGTCGTGGTAAAACTGGGAGAGGCT